CAATATTCCGACCTTTTTTAGGAGCCCACAGGCATGGTAGAAAGGGAGGTGGTCCATGCGATAGAGGTTGTCCCCGGTAGCAAGCTGCCTAGAGGACGAATCTATAGGATGTCTCCTGCGGACTTGGATGAGCTCTGCTGCCAGCTCAAGGAGCTCACAAAAAACGGATGGATTCGGCCTAGTACCTCCCCTTACGGTGCGCCAGTCTTATTTGTCCCTAAGAAGGGGGGTACCTTAAGGATGTGCATTGACTATAGGGGCCTCAAGGCCATCACAGTAAAGAACGCAGAGCCCCTACCCCGCATCGACGATCTATTGGATAGAGTGCAGAAATGCCGGTACTTGACTAAGATAGATCTAAAGTCTGGATACCATCAAATTGCGGTTAGACCTGAGGACCAGCAAACCACTTTTCAAACCAGGTATGGTCTGTACGAGTTTGTGGTGATGCCCTTTGGCCTATGCAATGCCCCTATGACATTCCAGCACTCGATGAATAGGATCTTTCATGATCACTTAGACAAGTTTATCGTCGTGTACCTCGACCATATTCTTATCTTTAGTAGGACTACAGAGGAGCACGCTGAGCATTTGGAAATAGTGCTATGTCTCCTAAGACAGCACCAGTACAAGATCAATTTGGAGAAATGCGAGTTCGGTCGCACCAAGATCTTGTACTTGGGTCATGAAATCTCCGCGGAAGGGTTGAGGCCGGACGATGCCAAAGTGGCCAGCATACGGGACTAACCCAGGCCTCAGATTGTTACTGAGGTCAGATCGTTTTTGGGGATGACGGGCTACTATCGTCCGTTTGTTAAGAACTGTAGTACTATAGCTTCCCCATTAACAGATCTAACTCGACTCGACACCCCTTGGGAGTGGACTGAAGAGTGAAGCGGCCTTCAAGAAATTGAAGTATGCGCTGCCGCACTACGAAGTCCTCAAACTTCCGGATCTTGAACAACCCTTTGTTGTGACCACAGACGCCAGCCAATATGGCATAGGTCTGGTCCTTAGACAAGTTTATCGTCGTGTACCTCGACGATATTCTTATCTTTAGTAGGACTACAGAGGAGCACGTTGAGCACTTGAAAATAGTGCTAGGTCTCCTAAGACAGCACCAGTACAAGATCAATTTGGAGAAATATGAGTTCGGTCGCACCAAGATCTTGTACTTGGGTCATGAAATTTCCGCGGAAGGGTTGAGGTCGGATGATGCCAAAGTGGCCAGCATACGGGACTGGCCCAGGCCTCAGACTGTTACTGAGGCCAGATCATTTTTGGGGATGACGGGCTACTCTCGTCCGTTTGTTAAGAATTATAGTACTATAGATTCCCCATTAACAGATCTAACTCGACTCTACACCCCTTGGGAGTGGACTGAAGAGTGAAGCGGCCTTCAAGAAATTGAAGTATGCGTTGACGCACTACGAAGTCCTCAAACTTCCGGATCCTGAACAGCCCTTTGTTGTGACCACAGACACCAGCCAATATGCCATATGTGGTCACAACAAAGGGTTGTTCAGGATCCGGAAGTTTGAGGACTTCGTAGTGCGTCAGCGCATACTTCAATTTCTTGAAGGCCGCTTCACTCTTCAGTCCACTCCCAAGGGGTGTCGAGTCGAGTTAGATCTGTTAATGGGGAAGCTATAGCACTATAGTTCTTAACAAACGGACGATAGTAGACAAGTTTATCGTCGTGTACCTCGACGATATTCTTATCTTTAGTAGGACTATAGAGGAGCACGTTGAGCACTTGGAAATAGTGCTAGGTCTCCTAAGACAGCACCAGTACAAGATCAATTTGGAGAAACGTAAGTTCGGTCGCACCAAGATCTTGTACTTGGGTCATGAAATCTCCGTGGAAGGGTTGAGGCCTGACGATGCGGAAGTGGCCAGCATACGAGACTGGCCCAGGCCTAAGATTGTTACTGAGGTCAGATCGTTTTTGGGGATGACGGGCTACTATCGTCCGTTTGTTAAGAACTATAGTACTATAGCTTCCCCATTAACAAATCTAACTCGACTCGGCACCCCTTGGGAGTGGACTGAAGAGTGAAGCGGCCTTCAATGAAGTATGCGCTGATGCACTACGAAGTCCTCAAACTTCCGGATCCTGAACAGCCCTTTATTGTGACCACAGACGCCAGCCAATATGGCATAGGTCCGGTCCTTGCGCAAAAGGAGGGGAAGAAGCTGAGACCGATCGAGTATATGACTAAGAAGATGCCGTCGCAAAAGCTAGCAAGGTCCACGTATGAGCGTGAGCTCTATGCCCTATATAGAGCGCTGGTCCATTGGAGACATTATTCTCCTAGGCAGATTCTTCTACGTGAGATCTGACCATGAGAACTTGCGCTGGATCAAGACACAATTTGTGCTCTCTGACACACTCAAGCGATGGATACAAATGATACACATGTATGACTACCAACTTGATCCAATCAAGGGAGAGTACAACAAAGTGGCTGATGCATTATCTCGTCGTGCAGACTATCTGGGCGAGTGACTGAGTTTGGCATACCTGATGAACTTACTCGATCACTGCTGGAAGCCTATCAAGAAGATTTCATTTTGTCTTAGATCATTCGCAAACTGGAGGCTAAGGATACCTCCGATGAGTTTGTGATGGTCAATGGATCGTTGTTTCTTGATAAGGCAGGAAATAAAAGACTGTGTGTTCCAACTAGAGAGTCTTTGCGTAGTTTATTTTTAGGTGAATGCCATGATGCAACTAGACATTTCGGGTATAGGAAAACTTCAACGAACCTAGTACAGAAATGCTGGTGGCCTTCTATGATGGGAGATGCCAAGAAGTCTGTCGAAACCTGCCAAGTCTGTCAACATGACAAACCTAGGTTTCAAGATCCGCTTGGGCTCATTAAGCCCTTGCCGATTCCTGAAGGTCCTGGTCAGTGTGTCCAGGGACTTCATGGATACCCTTGTGACTAGCAGGTCTGGGAAACGACACATCTTCGTTATAGTAGACCGCTTTTCCAAGTATGCAAGACTTATCGCTATGTCTGCGACTGCTAAAACTGACTACATCATCAGACTATTTATGGATAACTGGGTACGGGACTTCGGTTTCCCGAAGTCTATTGTTAGTGACAGGGATGTACGTTTTACAAGTGAACCGTGGCGAAGCACAGCCCAGCAGATGGGAACCAGACTGCAAATGACATCAGGGAACCACCCTAAGTCAAATGGTCAGGCGGAGCAGATGAACCGAGTAGTGCAGCACATGCTTCGGCATTACATCAAGCCAGGTTAGGACGACTGAGACGAGAAGCTACCACTCGGCGCCAGCCTGTACAACAACGCTGTGCACAACACTACTGGCAGGACTCCCAACCAATTGCATCTTGGTTGGAAGCCCAGATCCACCCTCCACTACCTATTGCATGAAAATCAAGCAACTGCAGCACCTGGTAGCATAGAGTTCGCCGTTAAATATGAACAGATGCTGCAGCAGGCCGTAGAAAATATTAGAATGTCTCAGGATGCCATGATTGCATCCGAGAACAAGCACAAACGGCCTTCTAACTTTCAGGTAGGGGACAGAGTCTGGGTGAAGTCATCTGAACTGGGACAGGAAGTAGGTATCTACAGGAAACTGATGCCACAATATTTCGGTCCATGGGAAGTCCTAGACATAGTGGGCGATCAAGAGGATGGACCTTCCTACGTAATTCGTGTTCCCCCTCATCTACGTACACACCCTGTTTTCCATGCCTTGAAGCTAGCACCTTTCGCAAAGTCTGCACAGTTCCCTTCCAGACGGTCAATGCTGCCCCCAACCATGGATGGTCAAGTGGACATCGACCAGATCGTGGAGCATCGTGTGATGCCTGTTCCTCAACCACCGGGCAGAGGCCGCCCTCCTAAGCCAAAATGCAATATCGGGTCAGATTCAGACATCATCTGGATCCCAGCCATGATCGGTGGTTCACCAGAAAAGAACTCATGAGAACTGCACCTAAGTCATTGCAGGCTACGAAAGAGATCTCAAAGGGAAGATGTCTGCAGAATAGAAGACTTCTCAGAGGACTATCGAAGTACAGCAGGAGGGAATGTGAGGATCTGGGTCCTCGGCAGGCCTAAGGGCCCCCTGTTGCATGCGTGCCCGCCCTAAGTGAAAGCGGGCCTAACAAATCATGAGAGGCCCTCCACTGACAATTTCGTATTTGGGGGTCCAGACAGTTGCGACGCGCCAGTTGGTTAAGGGAAATACAGGCCGAGCAACAAGGACATTCCACGGCCTTCTGGGCCTTTTCGAAGAATGCAGGCCCTGGGCGAGAATCGCAGCCTCATACAGTGACAGTTGTGAGGCCCAACCGAACGAGGCCCAGTAGCTGCAACACAAGCGCAGCATCCTGGGGCCTACTGGAGCAGATGCTCGTGGGCTAGCGGCAGCGCTGCTGGAGCAGATGCTCGTGGGCTGCTGCTGGCGCTGAGAGGCGAGGTGCTAGCGCGTTTAATCATGCAGAGAGCAGGGAGTTGCTGAGGGCAGCGCCATAGCCCAGCCTCCATAGCTGGTTGGGCTTGGACTACAGTGAGGCGCAGCGGGTAGTCTTCGGGTGTACAGGGGGAAGACGTGGGTGTAAGACAAGGTAGAGAGAGAAGGCTGATGATGATGATGATGTGAGGGCACATACCTGGTATTTGTGATGGTCTGCTACGGGCGACATCTTCAAGTACTCATGGGCTGCTGACGTCAAAAGTTGCATCGTCAATTAGTAGGCAGACTATAGCTGTGTATGGAGTGGGTTGGGCGCCAAGCGCCACGTAGGAGATAGGGCCTGGACACTCATGTTGGTGGTGGCGAGAGTCAGCTCTCATTGACATTGGTTTTCAGTGTTTGCTCATTTTCCTTGCACATCATCCTCCACCTTTGACACTAAAGCATTGCAAGTCGCTCAGAGTCTGAAGCAGTTCAACTCGCTATGTTATGGCAAGGAATTCCAGCATCATTCAAGTACGGGGAAAGAGAAACTCACAATGACACAAGATGCTTTAACCTGCCAAGCTCCCGAGGAATTGTGCCTGTAAGCTTATTATTCTGGAGGTGCCTGCCACCAAAAGTTAACAAGGAAGCAAGCACGTCATGTGTGAATCACATTAGGATGGCACGCTTGACAAGCGGCCCAGCTGTAATGAACCCAATACTGATAAACTCACAACATCAACAACATGCATGAACTTCACAATGCTCAATGATTGACAACCACCCAAAGATAGCAAGTAGACAAGAATGTAGGCAGAGGGAGAGAAGAACAAGAGGAGGACAATATATAGTATTTACCAATGAATACAATCCCTTGTTCTCACCTTCCCCTTTTTCCTCCTGGCTTCTTCCACCTCCTCTCGCCACATCTCGGTCAACAACCTCTTGAAGCCGATACATTCCTCCCAAGCACTCCGCCAGTTAACAAATTTGCTCCCCAACGGAGAAACAACCAGCACAATGATGAATAACCCAGGAACTAGCAATGCCAGGCTTTGGAAGCAGGGTACTCTCTCCCCGACCACCACCAGGTAAGACCAGGTAAACCTCTCTCACCCTCTGCCCACTCTCTCTCACAGCACATGATACGTCTGTCCCTCAAACCTCAATCTCTCACGCTATCGCCAAGCTGGGGCGCAGAGCACCATCTATCCTACCATAGGTGCTAGTGCTCCAAAACTCGCGCTCCAGCATCAAGGCAAGGCAGAATGGATGATCGAGCTGGGGAGGGCCAAATGTTACGTAGCATTGACCAGGCCTGGCCTGACTCAGTTGCCTCTTCGAAGGGCTTTGATTTCCCAACCTATCCGGCCAAGATTTGCTTGCAGCCAGTGTGTACCTGGACCCAGTGGGGCTTGGGAACTTACAGAAACTGTACCAAGACTAAGGATGTGTTTGTGATCTGTAGCTGTGGTTGACTCCCAAGAACAGTTCGACTCTTTCACTTTTGTACCAAGGTTGGGCCTGACTGTTGGCTTTCATGGGACCTGCTCTTGCTTCTGAAGGCCATATTTTGACCCTCAACCCCAGCCCTGCCGACCTAGAATTTCTGGTGTCTCTACATAGGCTATGGGATCGACTTTCGACCCTAGAGCTGTGACTTGGCCAAAAGCTACAACCCTTGGACCTTATACGTGCTGACCTGACCTCGGTTCTTTGTAAAGCACGGGGACACTTGCTTAAAAGCGTGGTTCAGAAAAGTGACCATTTGCTTGGAACACAAAAACAAAATTCAGCAGGTCACCCACATGACCATAATATTCCCCTCCAACGACCTGGTACACCCTGCATCAGCTTCGCACTTATCTCACACCACCATCCATGTAAAGGTGTACCACAGAGCAAGGTCGTAAATCTAGCTCTGTCTCATGTGACGAAATGGGGACACACAGACCGAGTCCTGAGGAAGTTCCAGAGTACTGTGGTTTTGAGGAGGAAAGAACAACCACCTCCCTCTTCATCCTGCTTGCCCATCTTTTGTGCCACAGGGGGATGCAGGGGAGAGGGGAAGGGTTTTCGAGTGCAACCAACACAATAAGCAGGGCTTCAGCGTTTTCGGGTTTTGATGATACATAGGACTTGTAGGTATTGTTAGTGCAAGGCAAAACCACTCGTCAATTGTCCATCTTCATCCTGACACTTTCACTTGTATGCGCATTTATTATTGCCACAGTGTCAGATCCCCTGCAAGAATGTCACCCACAGCACCTTCTCATTACCGTGTCGGCTCTCTGTCCCACCAATTGCCTAGTTTGAGGGCAGGTCATTATCCATTGCCATTTAATTCTAGCTGCCAGCTCTCTAAATCCTCTAGGTGAAGACAAAAGATGGGTCAGGATTTCCAGCCTAACTTGCGCCTCCTTGCAAGCTACGGTAATGCAGGGACTGCTGCTAGCAATGGCTTTTGAAGATACTAGAAACACAGAGCTAAAAAGCTAGCAGCACCTCATGCTAAAACATGACCAACCTATAGTTCACTCTTGAAACGAAGGTAATTACAGGAGTATGAAAATGACTGTGAGGACAACAAATGCGCACAACAAACCATTTCCTTCAGTACATGCTGCGACCAACCATCCTTCATGCTCTTGAGGAACTGCCTTTCGTTAATTCTTCCCAGACATTCACATTTCCACAGCATCACCACGCCAGATGCCGCATACACCAGCCTCAGAATCAAGCTGCTGCTAGTCCGCGATCATCCACCAGTTTATTTCTTTTTGTATGAAACAAGTAGACAACAGTCAGAAAAGGAGTACACAGACGTGCAGAGGGGGTGACAGCCAGCACAATGCTATGCCTGTCATCAGGATTTGAAGTCGTGAGCTGTTTATAGCTGCTTAAAAACAGCTATATGCGTGTACCATTCAGGATTTAAACACATCATTTGAGTATATACAGCTTCATGACCACGCAGGATTTGGTTTCACTAGGTCCCTCTCAAAACCACCGGCCATGACAAGAGACCCAATCTTCACAGCACAGGCAGGTTATTATTCACTGGTCAATGGACCAGATTTGGACAAACCTGTAACAATTGGCGGGACTTCCAAACTACTGCAACAACACTTACTTGCTGCATGCTTTCTCGTGGCCATCCTGCATAGACACTTGCTCAGGGCAGGACATACTACATGCGCTCTCACCAGTGCCGCTATCCTATTCATGTGACGTTTCTCCCTCAGTGGTTCTGACGCATGCTGTGATGGCCCCTGCATCATCCATTTATTCCTTGGCCCCATAAAGCTCCCCTCTTGCCCCTAGGTGCTCAACTGCTAGTGATAGACCTGCAGTTTCCACTGCAACAGCTTCCTCTGCAGCAGTTCCATTGCAGAGAACACCATCTCCCCGACGCTCCCATCATTTATTTCGAACCCTTGCACAATCAAACCCCCTATCCTCTATTTCCGTGCTCAGCCCCAGACCTCATTCCTCCTTGCCCCTTCCATCTCCTCTGCAGTCTCACTTACGAACAGACTCTTCCGTTCCCATTGCCATACCTTCCTTGTTGGTGACATGTTCATCTCCAGTTTGCCATGCCACAACTTCTCTGATAGTGTATGGATGATGGCCTGGCCCCTTTAGCTGCTTATCCGAAAATCAGCAGCCTATTTCTTTGTCTACCCCTATTCTCTATCTGCCTGATCCACAGGTTGTTGCTGTTCTCTTGCTCCAAACGGGAATATCCACTCCTGTGTCCCCGGCACACAGTCCAAACTTCTTGCAGGCAGTCAAGAGACCATGTTTCATGCCCGAAAGCATAGGAGATTAAAAAGTCGCATGCAGAGCAGGATACGGTCCCCACTCCGGGTCCACTCCCCACTCAGAATGGAGCCCCGGATGTCCCTAGATTGGAACATCATTTCGCTTAATTGATCAAGTTATCCCACAAGGCATAGACCACATGGGCGATCTGCAAATGACCGACCAAGACACATTCCAGAACATTCAAGGCTTGGAACATCCTTCGGGTAATCTACAAAATGTTGGCAAGTGTCCAGCACTCCAGCTCACAACAAGGAGGAACATCTCTGTGAACCCTGTTCGTCTAGTTCCGTTGAGATCCTTCCCAATCACCGTGACTGCTACTAATGCTTGTCTGCACAGTCTCCGCCGCCCGTTCACCCGTCTTATATGGCATCAGACTTTCTTGCAATTGCCCGTCAGCTTGATCTGAACCTTCCCTGCCTACCAGAGGGGGAGGCTTTGAAATTGAGGTCCCACATCCACCAATGTGAACTGCGCCATGCTCGACCTGGTAGTTTTATCCTCTACCCCACATCCTGCCTGCAGTCTACACGGACGGGCAGGTTTATGCCTCTGACACTGGGAGCTTTGGGACAACAGCACCATTATCCATTACATGAACGATGTTGGCAATTTTCTCGGCAATGATGATGTTTTCTTGCTTCACCAAACCGCCAGCATACTATTTTATATCGAGGATTATTGTGTGCCCCTGAGCCACAGCAGAACAATGTGTCGACACTCTTCAGCTTTCTCCTCTGCACAGCTACAGGTACTGATAAACTCGGCCCCAAGCACCGTTGTCTCTCACACAATCACTACAATGCCAGGGTTTCTGCATCACTGCGTGCAGAAGACCGCCCCTCCTTTACTGACAGTGTGGACCATCCGCAGTCTGCAGCAGGGAATATAATATGGTCTTCTGTGATGCCTGTTCTTCCTTCCTGTTGGGCTGCAACCAACATGCCATTTGTCAGGAGTGTTTCGTGGGCATTCTTAACACCATCCGTTGAGGCAACTGTTGTGCAATCATCCCTGCTATCCAACTCCTCTCTGTTGTCAAGGACAGACTGACTCCTGGGTCTTCTTTTATACTTCCCTGAGTTCCCTCTGCTCTCATCTTTACCCCACACTCGTCACTTTCCCTTAGTCTTCCTTCCATGTTTCCTTCTTTTCGTTCCCTCTCCCCTTCCTCTGCCTCCTTTCCCTCCCATTCATGTCCCCTCTATTGCCAAGGACAGACCGACTCCGGGGTCATCTTTACAACTTCCCTCTGCTCTCATCTTTACCCCACACTCCTTACTTTCCCTTTGTCCTCATGGCACTCAGCCACATCAACGTGGCAAGCCTGGCGTGTAGGAAGCACAGTAAAGGAGCTAAAAGCTATGCTGGTTGCCAGGCCGTCCCAGCCGTTGGACCTCGCCCAGCGTGGCTCCCAGGCAGCCCAGCTGGCTGGGTTGCCCGGTTGGCGACCGGGCACCCCAAGCACATCTCATACCGGGGGGTCACAAGGCCCCAAATGGGTTCAAGCCCTCCTGACGTGGCCCACAGTGCATTCCCCCCCCCCCCAAAAAAAAAAAAAAAAACTGGGGCCAAACCGGCCCCTTATTCGCGTACTGGACCGTGCGAATGCCTTTGCGGGCATTCGATCTTGAATGTTATTTCACGCCCGAGGCATTCCGCTTCTGCACTGCAACGAGACGCGCAGCCATCTCCCAAGACCGCGCCACTGCTGCCCCATCTCCAAGAACCGCAGCCGCTGCCAATGCCACGACCCGTTGCCGCTGCCCATGCCACCTTGTAGGGGATGAGACATAT